CAATAAAAAAAAAAAAAAAAAAAAAAAAAACAACCCTACCATTTCTTCCATCTCTAACTGTTCAAAATTTTCAGCTTATATTTATAAAGGAATTATTTATAGCATTACCTTGATAGATTTTTCTGCTTCTGTTAGAGGCCTGATTTTATATGAAGGAGCAATGTCTTTAAATAACTCCATCAGAGAAACTATCACCAGCTTTCGAACAGTAACAGCCACGTCAGGATCCTGTTCCATCAGCATGGAGCGTAATTCTTTCAATTTTTTAATCTGTTAAAGAAATAATTTGTAAGTCTAGAGAAATTACGAGCAAACAATTACAAATAAGACAAGAACTTCGCATCTGGCATAGTAAGTGGAATTCATAGTGATTCAGAGAGTCTAGTTAATGCCTACTAAACTCCAAATGCTACTCATTTTACCAACAGAGAAATCACTGAAGCTATAAGGTACATATTTTTGTTATAAAGTAGCTAGAAAAAATAGACTTTTTTTTTAAGAGAGATTTTTGCAATAAGGCATGTGCAGTTGTCAGCCAGACAGAGACAGAGAGAAAGCAAGCAAGAAATCACCCCCCAGGGGGGATGGCCATGCCACAATCCCTTCTCCTCCATTCTCCTCTCTGGATCTTGGGCACGCATGCACATGGGCCCAGTGTGAGTTTTAAGTCTCCAGGTCCGGGACTCAAATCGCAGTCAAATATGTGGGAGTTCGGCAACGTAATATTGCACCATCTGCTGGTCCCAATTCAGACTTTTTATTAATTTATTTTCTTTTATTATTTTAAGGTTTTGGCCATAGGGCATAAGCACTCTCTGGAGAGGCAGGAGAGAGACAGTGAAAAGGAAAGAAATCATCCCCTGGGGGATGACCATGCCACAATCCCTTCTCCATTCTCCTGAGATCTCCGGCATGCACACACACGTCTGGCATGATTTTTAAGACACTAAGCCCAGGACTCAAACCATGATCGGCCATATGGGAGTCTAGCAACTTAACTACCATGCCACCTGCTAGCCACAATATATACTTTTTTAAAAATAGTTTAAATTAGTAATCTATTTTTAGGAATCCTTCTTTATACAATTTTCTTAAAATATGTGAGTCCCATTTTCCTAAAAACACTTTAGAGACATCTTAAAATGTTATGTATGCCAGGCTAACATGTCAACCACACATACATGAATTAATCATGAATTAAACAGAGTACAGTCACCTTAACTTTAGCTTCAACAAGACTCTTACAAAGATAACCTGTGTGATATGAGTCAGAAGTAAAAAACTGGTCTCAGTAACTAAGGCCCGCTGGAGCAGTATCTTGAGAAGCAACGACTCTGTCTGGTTAGCCGTGTCTCTTACAGCAGGGAGCAAGACAAATGGACCACCACCTACTGCTACCCCACCCAGTGTGACACCAGCCAGATTCCAAGTAGTGGACATGGACTCCAACTTAGTGGCTATTAAAATCTGCAAAAAAAAATCACTTGAGTTTTTGTTGTTGTTTTTTCATTTTGCCAGAGGGCACATGTACTTCCTGGAGAAAGAGAAAGTAAGAAAGCACCTCCCATGAGGGATGGTCACACTGCAATCCTTTCTCTCTTCTTCCTTTTGGGATTTTGGGCACACACAACTGGTGTGTGCCACTGGGTTCAGGACTCAAAATGTTGGATCTATTCACCTTAATAATGCCACAGCTAGCACAATCACTTGAGTTTTTTGGTTTTTTTTTTTTTTTAATTTATAGTCTTTTATAATGATTACATGAGATAATGTAGGTGAGAAAAATTCCAACCCCCCTCCCTAATTCTGCTCCAAATCATCTCACTTCATTCAAAAAGTACAAGTATTACTCCATAGTATACCCACAAGACATTTTTTCTATAAACATAAATCATCTATTTTATCATTTAATACTTGTCATAGTAGGATGCTGGTGATACCAATTTAACAAGAATAATAGTATCTGGGACCAGTAGATGGCATAATATTTACATCGCTGGACTCCCAAATAATCAACCATGGTTCAAATCCCAGACCCAGTGGCTTGAAACTCATGCCAGGCACATGTATGTGTATGTGCCCAAAATTCCAAGAGGAGAATGGAAGAGAAGGGATTGTGGCATGGCCATCCCCCTGAGGGGTAATTTCTCACTTTCCGTCTCTCTGTCTCTCTGGAGAGCAGACACGTCCTATAGTAAAAACCTCCCTCTTAAAAAAGAAAAAAAGTATCATTTTGTATTGTGAGGGTATGCACCCTAGATACTCACTGGAGCCGGCTGCCACATGCCTTGATCACCAGGGGCTCCGCAGATAAGATCTGTAGGGCATGGGAAACATCCTAACCCTGTCTAGGTCATGTGATGCCTGTTCTATATAATGTTTATGGCTTACACATTATCCTCTTTGATGCATACTCAGACAGTCTTCCTCCAAGTTGCAGAGGAACAGCATAAGTAAACTGGCTTGACCTATGACGCATAAAAGGGTCATGCAAGATAGTAACAAGGTGGAAAAACATCTACACTACAGTCCTTATCTCTAACTGTAGAACTTCAACCGCATCCTTGAAAGCTTGCAAACACAGTTCACTGTGCCTGGTAAAATATATAAATAAAGAAGCTCAGCATGACTGAGCAACACAGCTTGTCTGCATTCACCTGCATCTTCTGATTCTGCGTCTTTCTTTCCTTTCTCTAACTTTTCCCTTCATGGGAGCAAGCCCTGAGGGCAGACACCAACAGTATTACCATCCAGATAGATGTTACTCTTAAGCTTGCCAGCAGACACTGACATTACATGACTTCACACACATTTTATCATTTACTTCTTACAACCAACTTTCAAGGAAGATAAATACTATCCTCTTTTTAGAGATGAAGAAAGTGAGTCTTGGGTAAAGTGATTTAACCTAATGTCACGAAGACAGTACTTAGCAGAACCAACACTGAATCTAGGTTGTGTGAGTCCACATATTACAATTATCACTACTTTCACAACTCTACATGGCCAAATGATAATTCATTGTAACTATAACTGTATTTCACTTAAAATATTTTCTACTTACAAGTATTCCTGAACTAACTTCACTGACTTCTTTGTAGCCTATTCCTCATGAAAAACCTTACCAATTAGTCAGACACATTTGCAAGCAAGTACCACCTCTCTAATATAATTAATTTTTATAAACTTACCACTTTTAGAGTTACAACAATATCATCAATAACTTCATATTGAGATGAGGAAAATATGACTCAGAGAGTTTAGGAAACTGTTTAAGATCAAGAGAAAAATTAAATTCAGACACAGCATTAATTTAAGGTTCTGTCTACCCTATTATCCTCATCTAGCTGCTATTTAATTGACACTTTTCCTTTTTGTGTGTACTTATGGGTAACAAAAGAATCTTCATGTATGACATACTTATACTGTATCAGACATGAAGCGTGTGAAGAGATGAATACTACTTACATTACTCTCTGGGTCTGATAATACAGCAGATGCCAGGGCAGCAATATGCACTTTCTTTTCCTGTAGTTTCTTCTTTCTCTCCATCAAATGTTCTTCCATGGTCAGTTCTCGAATGGGCTCTTCAATGATATCTAAAATAGATTAGATTTTCCCTCTTAAAGTATTATTCCTTTATTATAAGTATTCTAGAATCTTAATAATTTTCTTATAGTAATAATAAGTAAAAATGATGATAGCTAAGGACTTTATATTTGTTACTACAATATCATTTCAATAATCATAGAAGCCAGGTATGCCATCAGAAAATACAATTTGTAAATAAGGAAAATAAGAAAAAGGGAGAGAAAGTCAACTTGACTGAGCTCATAAACCCAACAGAAATGGGATACAAATCCAGGCAGGAACCTTTGAGATGATGCCTACCACACCATACTACTAGGTTTTACCATGTGTTAGCAGAAACTGATAACATGAAAACACAGAATGATATGTTTTCTGCCAAATGGTAATTCACCTAGGTTTGCTATATTGAAATTGTAAATATGGCAAAACTTTAATAAATATCTCTTATGTAGCAAAATAAAAAAGAAAATTCATAGAAAACTAGATTTAACAAGTGCAAGTATAGGGACCAGCAGTTGGTGTAATGGCTGTGTCACTGGACTCCCACACAGTCAACCATGGTTCGAGTCCCAGACCCAGTAGCTGAAACTCACGCTGGGTGTGTGTGCATGTGTGCCCAAGATCCCGAGAGAATCATGGAGAAGGGATTGTGGTGTGGCCATCCCCTGGGGGGGGATTTCTCACTTTCTATCTGTCTCTCTGTCTCTCTAGCAAGCATACACGCCTTATAGCAAAAACCTCTCCAAAAAATAATAATAAATAATAATAAAATAAATGCAAGCATAATCTGGAATGTGTCTATAATGGATGACTCAAAACAGTTAAATAGTTGACCTATCTTGTTTACACAATTAATAACGTCTGCTAAGCAAAACTCAAATTCAACCAGCTTGTCACAAATTCCAAACTAATATAGTTTCAGACAGTAAAATTTGTTCTTTCTGTCTAACTTTGAGTGTTAAAAACTGTTCTATTAGGAATCTACTTTCAGTCATATAAAACAGATTTATGCAAAGTATAACTGTTCTAGAAATTAGTAAGAATGGGCCAACTGCTGGTGTGGTGGTTAAAGCAGCTGGAACACACATAGCCAACAATGTAGTTAAGAGTCCTGGACAGAGTGACTTGAAAAACATTCCAGGCACATGTGCATGCATGCCAAAATCCCAAGAGAATGGAGGACAAAGGATCACAGCATAACCAACCCCCCTGACAGGTGCATACCCGCCCCCCCCACACACAGCACCTCTGTATCTCTCAGCAAGCACATGCTCCCTGTAGCAAATTTAAAAATAAATAAATAAAAGAATGAACCAAAATGACCTGAGACTACAAAATCATTTTTGTAAAAGCTAAAAATTTAATAGTTATTTAGGGCCTTCACTTACACTTATAAGAATTAAGGGACCAGGGAACCAGCAGTTAGCATAATGGCTATGTCGCTGGACTCCCACGTAGTCGACCGCGGTTCGTGTCCCGGACCCGGTGGCTT